CGAATTACGACGTTGATAGTATCATTCCCCTCTGTGTGCAGTAAATTTACACGGCAGTGTACTTCAGATCTGTCAATTGTACATTTTTCTGTGTGCAATGTGTAACGATTGATGAACATATCTTTTTAACTGACTTCCAACTCACGACAATACTTTCACGTACAGTACTTATTTTATTACAGCAGTGGATTGGTTCACACTGACTTTTTCAGTTATCTGCACGATAGTTTTCTAGAAAGTATTTTCTCCGCGTCTCCTCTTTTGGTGCCATGAGTGTGTGGGTATTCCAGGCGAGAATGTGTTTCATCAACACCTTTTGACGCATTGTCTACTATCTTTTTGAGCACTTTTGTCCCTATAAATTTAATATGTCCCATCTGTTTCGCTATTTCATCATATGAACTTTGGTTTGCCACATTGTTCTGGTGGAAAGGTTAACTGTCAGCTGGTTTAAAATCACGCGCATCACCGCGGCATCTTATGTGTTTCATCATCCCTCAAGACTTCCGGCTTAGGTTGATGATGTTCATATAAACCAAATTATTAGCATCTACGGCTACGGGGTTCGTCCTATTTCGTGTTTGCAACGTCATCATGTGTAATGAAGAAATATTACTTAGGTATTCATCAAATAAATAATCAAACTTCTAACGAAACAGTTCAGTACTGTTGGAGTTGTTCTTTGATGCACTGGTATTCTCATCACGTCGTCTATCGGAGATGCGAATGAATTCTGGGAATCGCCAACATTTGAGGCATTGCTCATATCAAATGCCACTCGTTCAAACGATTCTCCCCGCAATGATCTCCATTAAGATGCATGTTCTCTTAGTCTTTATCGTTCACCGTCCTCTGGACACTACTGTCAGCTTTGAATTTGATTATTCAACGCTGTCTTCTCTCAAATTGATTTAATGATGCAAATTAGCTTTTGGGCATGCGCACGATGTTAAGCAGCTACCTTGGGTTTTTTACTGATTTTCTCATATTTAACCAGCAGTTTATCATATATTCTTACAACAGAAGTCTTTTGACTAACACCCTGGATACCCGTTTGGAATACTCTGTAGTAGGTAGGATTTATCAGAAGATAAGAGCACTGAAAACGCCGTTACAGATTTATCCGGTCATTGATTTTATACCACTCACGCATAGGTGATTCTTCCTCTGTCATTTAGTCTGCTTTTTCACAGCAGTATTGAAAACACATATGCGGTTAACCGAGTTACCGTAGGATCCTTGTAACCTTGATCCTATTTATCTCCGTCTGCATTCCGTCATGAGTATCAGAACTATATGTGATACATGCGATAGAAATGTTTGCGGTGACCGACAAAGCGCACTGGACAGCCGTTTCGTCCTGTTTGGGACTCGTCAGCAGTGTGTAATTATTGTCTTTGTCAGGACTCGAACCGCGAACTTTCGGGGTAGGACTTCAAACCCTTACCCCTGAGCTACACGGTCGACGGTCATCACCTTGTGCGAACGGCTCAATCAAGAGTGCCTTGTGCCTCTTAACAATCAAATGGGCTAATCCAAGGTTGCTAACAAAGGATACATTGGTTTGTTCAGGAAAGACCGGCAACATTCAAATGTCCTGTCAATTGGGACGTTTGATGAAGAATAAGACAGTTTCAGTGTACATCCTCTGTAGCTTCCATCCCTAAAACGCTCCGCTGAAGTAGAATAAGTAATCTAAGATGTGGGGTTCGTCGCATTAAAAGGCAAAGGGTACGATTTGAGTCCA